GGCCGTCAGGAGGGGCACCTAATAGCACACAACCAGGCTGCAGTGCAGAGACTGGCCCCTGCAGGCCCTGCACAAATGATTGACACCTTTTATTGTCTTCTGCTGGGTGATGCCAGACTTGGCACTGGGGCTTGGTGATCACAAATGAGCCGAATAATGACATGCAGAGATGTCCGTGTTCTAATCCGGGAACCTCTGAATGCCACCTTCTATGGGAAAACGGACTTGTAGATGGAATTGAGTTAATGATTGTGAGACAAGAAGGTGGTCCTGGATTTCAGGGCCCTAGAAGCAATCACTGCCATCCTTATAAGAGAGCCAGAGGGAGGAAACTCCTGCAGATGAGGAAAAAGTAGATGTGAGAAAGAGGCAGGAGGCAAAAAGGCGGTGTGGTGAGGGGCAGGGATCACAGGAAGCCTCCAGAAGCTGCAAAAGGCAAGGAAATGGATTCTCTCCAGGAGCCAGAAGCTTCCAGGAGGAAACCAGCCCTGCCAACACCTTGATTTTAGGCCCAGAAGGCTGACTTCTGACTTCTGTCCCCCACAGCTCTCTGAGGGAACATCTGCATCGTTTTAAGCCACCAAGTTGGAGACAGGCAGTTACAGCAGCAGGAGACAGCCCTACAAGTAAAGAGCCATCCAGGCCTGTGAGTGACAAGGCCATTTCCACAGGCCTGCTGGCCGAGCCAGCCCTCCTCTGCTGCCTGCCACCTCCACTTCCTGCTTCTCTGGGTGCCCCACCCATTCTCTGTCCTTCACTGGCCAGGAGGGAAGCAGGCCCCGGGATGAGACATGGCCTGTGTCCAGTCCTGACCTGGGGAATGGCAGAGCCTGGAGAAAACTTCGGTGGGGGGGCCACCTCCCAGCCACAGCTCTCTACTAGCTCGGGGAGTGACAGTACTGAGGGCCCCTGACTCACTGCCAAGGTCCTGCCTGCAGCTGGAGCATCTCGAGCCTGTAATGTGTGTGTGATGTGTGTAATGTGTGTAATGTGTGAGGGCTTCCCTGGTGGCGCAGTGGTTGAGAATCCACCTGCCGATGCAGGGGACACGGGTTCAATCCCTGGTCCAGAAGATCCCACATGCCGCGGAGCAACTAAGCCCGTGCGCCACAACTACTGAGCCTGGGCTCTAGAGCCCACGAGCCACAACTACTGAGCCCACGGGCCACAACTACTGAAGCCTGCACGCCTAGAGCCCATGCTCTGCAACGAGAGAAGCCACCGCAATGAGAGGCCCGTGCATCGCAACAAAGAGTAGCCCCTGCTCGCCACAACTAGAGAAAGCCCGCATGCAACAACGAAGACCCAACGCAACCAAAAATAAATAAATAAATATATTAAAAACAAAAAAAACCCCAAACAAACGGTGGGCCTATCCTAGAGTCTCTGACTGAGCAAGTCTGGGCTGCAGCCTGAGACTCTGCATTGATAGCAGGCTCCCAGGGGAGGCGGCTGGTCCAGAGGTTTGGGGGCAGTGCCCTAACAAAGGGCTAGATGAGCTTTCATGAAGGAATCGTCTGGACCCATGCAGGGGACCTGTGGTCATACATGTGCTCCCAAGAGCGAGGGCAGCATGTGGCCGAGGGCCAGGGCTCAGGAGGCAGTAATTAGATTTCAAACTCTCTCACTCCCTCAGTGGGGGCCCTAAGGATGAATTATTTAACCTCTCTGTGCTGCCTCAGTTCCTTCATCTGTAACATGGGGCTGACATGAAATGCATATCTTTTAGGGTTGAGAGGATTAAGTAAGATGAACACAGGAAGTGTTTACAGCAGAGCCTGTCCACAAGGTCAGAGTTATTTCAAGAAACGGCAGTCGTCAATGGTGACGTCTTCTTACATCTCTGTCGTTGCCCCTAGGTATGTGGGGACATGGGAGCCAGGATGCTCCCCTGCAGTGCTGCACACCTGCCTGCACGCTCCTCCAGGGAGCTCTCAGCAGTGTGCATGTCTCTGACCAGCACAGGGACCCTTGCGAGGAGCACTTCGCTGCAGGCCTGCCGTGCTCAGGATCTGTGTCATGGAACCAGCCAAACAGTTCTCAAGCAGAAAATCAGCCACTCCAACCCCTTCCTGGAAAGGGACTCAGCTCCCCTGATACTCATAGGATTCTCAGATGCTACCAACTGAGCAATTTTGGGGTGATCTACCAGCTCTTAAGAGTATGCACCTTCCAGAAGCCGCCTGAGCTGTGGTCTCAGCCACCTGCAGCTGGAGAAGTGTGGGAGGTGGGCAGAGGGCGGAAACGGCCCCACCACCCACCAGGGGGACACACAGGCCTATCAGCCGCAGGTCCTAGTCAAGTGAGAACCAGCTACGTGCACCAAAATAAAACGCAAAGATCCCAACATGTCACAGGGGACAACTTGAGGGGACTCCCAATGCACAAATCTGGGACAGTTTAAACAACACAATAAATAGTGACAGCAATAGAGTATAACTCACAGAAGACAAATATCCACACATTGATTTGACACAGATAAATGATCAGATAAATAGAGAAATGGGGGAGAAGGGACGGCTCCTCCTTACAGTAGAATTCCAATTAATAAATGTGGAAGGAATCACGGAAATAGAAAATCATCATTTGGCAAATACTAGACATTACTGTTTTTGGCAAGAATCAACAACGGATGTTCAAGTGAGTAGGTGAAAATATGATGAGAAATAGGAATTTACATATTACCCAAGTATTGTCCCACAAGGGACTTGTAATTAATTACAAAGGGATGAACTTTGAAGTGGAGAAACCCAGCGGATGTCACCGTAAGCAAACGATCAAAGTTAGCCATCTCCAGGGATGAGAAGTATGGTCGTCATAGGCCCCGACATGATGCACTAGGAGGGCACAGCACCACTTCTATGGGAGTATCCCCCAGTGCATCATCTGAATTTATCAGGAGGCAACACCAGGCAAACCCAAATCGAGGACATTTTATACAGTAACTGGCCTTTCCTCGTCAAGTCTCAAGGTCATATGTAAATTTGTGCAGCCACTTCAAAGAACAGCATGAAGGTTCCTCAAAAAACTGAAAAGAGAGTTGCCATATGATCCAGCAATCCCACTCCTGGGCATATTTCCGGACAAAACTCTAATATGCACCCCAATGTTCATAGCAGCACTGGTTACAATAGCCGAGACACAGAAGCAACCTAAGTGCCCATCAACAGATGAATGGATAAAGAAGATGTGGTACATATATACAATGGAATATTACTCAGCCATAAAAAAGAATGAAAGAGTGCCATCAGCAGCAACACAGATGGACCAAGAGACTGTCATACTTAGTGAAGTAAGTCAGACAGAGAAAGCCAAATACCATATGATATCACTTATATGTGGAATCTAAAATATGACACAAATGAACTTATCTACGACACAGAAACAGACTCACAGACATAGAGAACAGACTTGTGGTTGCCAAGGGGGAGGGGGTGGGGAAGGATGGAGTGGGAGTTTGGGGTTAGCAGATGCAAACTAGTATATAGAGAATGGATAAACAACAAGGTCCTACTGTAGAGCACAGGGAACTATATTCAATATCCTGTGATAAACCATAATGGAAAAGAAAAAGTGTCAAGGTCATGAAAGGCAAGAGAGACTGAGCCATGTCCTGGATTAAAGATGACAAAGGAGTTATGCCAACTAAATGCAAGGGCTAAATCCTGAACATAGATAAAAAAAGGACATCCACAGGCAACTGACCAAATTTAGATAAGATTTATGAGTTAGTTAATAACACTGGACCAGTCTCTGGTTATGTAAGAAGTGAACATTTGAGGAACTGGGTGAGGGTATACGGGAAGTCTTTGCACTATTTTTGCAAATGTTTTATGTCTGAGATTATTGCAACATACAAGACCTCTTGAAAAAGCACACAGAAGTCCCAGATTTGCCTTGTCTGGGGTGAGCAGCGGGTGCCCCAAAATAGGAGTCACCTGCCCCCCTCTCAGGCACAGGGCTTTGAGTATAGTGGGGTCTCAGTGAGTTTTGACTGACTTTACTCCAGCGGGAGCTGGGAGAGGGAGTGGGGGTCTGTCTTCAATGGGTGGAATGCATGGAGGGTGTCGATGGCTCTCAGAGCAAAGCTCAGAGCCCGCTGGACAGAGTGTGAAGACACCTCATTCCAATGCTACAGTGTGGTAGGAATCCAGGGAAGGACCCCCACTCAGGGTGGGCTCCCAAGAGGAGGTGGCCCCTGAGCTGAGGCTTCGGGACTCTGGAGGAGGTGGTCAGGAGGAGGGGCCGTTCCAGGCAGGTGGGGCAGTAGGGGCTGAGACCCAGGTACAGGTGGGCTAGAACCATAACGGCAGCTTGGTATGGACAGGTTGGGTGTCTGGGTCGAGAGGCGGGTGTGGGGCGCAGTGGAGATACAGGGGGTGGGGTGAAGGATTCAGCCTCTCTCCTGGAAGCAAAATGGATGAGGTAGCAAGGGGTCAAGTCTTGGAGTCATAAAGACCAAGAAAAGTGACATCAGCGACGGGCTCCGAGACCCTGGGTGGGAGTGGAGAGGGGCAGGAACAGGTCTAGAGAGAGACACACAGGGGACACAAGCCTTCACTGGGGGGGTCTTAGAGCAGGGAGTAGGAAAGGCCCCAAAGAATAACCTTGAGCTTGTCCTCATCAGTAGGGTTACCCTGTAATTCACTGTCCAAACTGGGATACTTGAGAGCATGAAAGGGGGGCGGGGCACTATGAATGATTATGTTGGGACAACGTGGATCCAAAGTCACGGTACTTATATGGGGACTTTGGTCTGCAGGGCATCCTCACTGCCTGGATGGGGGAAGAGCCTCAGGGCACTTGTGGACACACCAGGACCCCCTGCATCCTTGGAAGCCGTGATGTGGCAGATGGGTGCGCTTCCTTCTCAGGTAACCAGAGGGGAGCTGGGGTTCACACCCCACAGTCCCCCTTCACACCGGGTCAGCGCATGCCAGGGTGACAGAGGTGGACGACGCTGATCAGGGGACGGAGGCTGGGGCGGCGGGCGGACTTACCCGTGCACACCGTGCACAGAGTGAGGCTCGTAATGGTACCTTCCCTCCTGGTGTCGCATGTCAAGCGGGAAGGGGGCGTGGAACGGCGGCAGGAGATGAGTCGGCACTGCGGAGGGGAGAGAGAAACAGGACTTCAAAAACTTTTCCCCTCCCTCGAAAAGCACTTTTCAAAGGGCTTTAAAGCTCAATGAATTTCAGAGCAACAGCGCTCAGGACAGGGGGGCTCCGGGGTGCCTGGCTATCACACACCCACAAAGGGGGATGAATAAATAATCAAAGTCAGCCCAGGAACCCTACATCCTTCACATAAAAGACCCCCAGCTGCGCTCTTGACAAAGACAAGCAGCTAAGCACTCTTTGAACTCGGGGAGATGACAGACTTGGCCACAAATCAGGGCTGACAGAGCCGACAGGCTTCTGCCCGTCCTGGCCTTGGCCCGGTGTGGCGCCCGCAGCCCCGGGGCATGGCCTCCGGACGCTGCGGCCCCCCACGCTGGAGACACTGACCTAGAACTGTCTGTGGAGGCAGGGCCAGCTCCCCGCTGCGGCCAGCCTCAGGCAGGCCAAGTGCCACAGAGCCCCGTCCTGTGGGCAGCCCACAGTGGACACTTCTGTGGGTCTGTGAATGCTCCAGCTCTCAATATGCATTACGGACCCCAAGTGCGTTGGCCCCCGGGATGCCCATGCCGACACACGAGACCTGGTTGCCAGAGTGCGTCAGCCTCCTGTCTGCACTTGGCCTGTGCAGATCATGACACTTGTAAGGAGGCTCTTTGCTAATTTAAAAAAAAAAAAATTCCTGGGTACCCTGGAGGCAAGCAAAGTTATAGGCCTTAGGAAAACAAGGCTCTTGAAAAAGTAGTTACACGGCGAAAAGGGCTAAGATTTCTCAGTCAGCTCTTGCTCAGGCTGAGGACCACAGGCCAGTGAGGCTGACTGTTGAGTCTGAATTACTCAAGAGGTTAAAGAAATCCGGCGGGTTCGTTTCCCACACATACAGGTCAGCTGACTGCCAGGCCTATGGTGGTAAATGCACACGGATGATGCTCCTTCCCCTGATCTCGAACCTGCAGAGGTTGAAGGGGGTCCCCTGAGGCCACAAGAGCCCAGACCTTCCCCTCTGCCCCACCAGCTATAGCAGTGCACTTCTCAGAAGTAATGCAACTTCATCCAGGTCTAAAGAGCAATAAAACCCCCAGGAAGGAAGCGCTCATGGTAGCTGACCTGGCAAACATGAAGCGGACATGGCACCGAGGTCACCAGGCTGCTGCACAAGACCAGGCTGTGCGTGTGTGCGTGTGTGCGTGCACGCACGAGAGGTTGGGGAGGAGGACCCTGGGGCTTCCCAGCATAAGGGACAGCCGCCTGCAGGGTCCTGCTGCAGCTGGGGCTGCCCTCTCCCTTCTGCCAGGTGCTGGGGTGCAGCCTGTGAGCTTACGGGGGCAACGGCTTCCTCTTTCTCAAGTCAGGGCCGCAGGGCAGGACTTCCCTCCGCCCTGCTGCTCCCAGGATGGCTGACACCCATGGAACGAGCAGGCAGCAGGGGCTCTGGCCACACACCTGCACCCCACCCTTACCGGCTTGGGATCCTCAGGACGAGCCTGGGAACTCGTGTCAGTGGTTCCTCCCATCCGGGCAGGGATGTGTCGGGTCGGCCGGCAGCTGGAGTGTGGCAGTCCCCAGCTGGGTCAGGAGGGGACATGCCTCGGGTGCTCATCCTTAGTGACGTCAGCTGCCTCGTGGGGCTTTGCTTATAGCGTCTCGTTTAGTTTGGCCACTAACCCTGTCCTTATCCCCATTTTTCAGGAAAGAACATCAAGGCTCAGAGTGGCATGTCTGTACCTCTAGGTGAGCCACGATCAGGCCGCTGGTGACCGCTGGTTTCACTGTCTCTCTGCCCTCATCCCCGTGTGCTTTCCTGGAGCACAGCGCCTGCACAAAGCTGGCCCTCAGCAAACAGAGCCTGAGTGCGTGCTCACTTCCTACCCAGCAGCTCCCAGTGTTGGTCCAGGATGGGGCGCCATGCCTCCCATCAGCCAGAGTCCAACCCGGGGACCTGCTGTCTGGACCCCTCTGCCCACCTCAGAGAACCACCGGACCATTCACGTCAGGGGGGGCTACCTCTGGGCACAGTCACTGTAGGAACAGCCATTCATTCATTCGTTCACTCATCCGCCTGTATCAAGTGCTTGCTGTGAAGCAGCACTGCTCCAGCTCCTGGCAGGGCGGTCACAAAGCTGCCACCACAGAGCTGTAGACATTGCTGGAAGAGGGCACAGGAGCAAACCAGAAATACATTAATACCCTCACATCAGGGCGCTGAGAGTAGGAAGGAAACCGAGTCGGGCAGGGAAACAGAGGGGGCTTGGGCGACGCTGGAGAAGTCAGGGCTCTCCGAGAGAGGGTGCGCCTGGTGGGGCGAGGCCAGCGCAAAGGCCCAGAGCCTGGTGGGGGGGAGGCTGCGCAAAGGCCCAGAGCCTGGT